ATCTTCCCATCTCGCCGACGTTGTCTGACAGCAGCTTTGGGCAGCGTGTCCCGCTCCCGACAGAGGCAGAGGCCGCATGGAGAGCGGTCCGGGTCGCCGCAGAGACAGCAGGGCCAAGGCCTGGCGCTGGCAGCCTCCGCAGTGCACCGGTCAGGGCCTCAGATGCCACGCACCCGTCTGGACTTCCGCTGCTCGGCAGAGCGTGTGGTGGCCACAGGGCGGTCTGTTACATGAGTTTGCTCATTGCGCCAAGCCCACTGGCCGGCACGTTGGTGGTGGCTCCTGGTTTTTTACTGCTGGAAGTGGCGCCTCAGTGGCCGGCTTTGTGGCGCGGGGATATTTTGCAGGGTTGTGACTTACAGAGTGAACTAAGCTCCCAAGGTGGGCGGCTAGGTCAGGGTGTGCGTGGTGCCCGGTGGACGGGTGCCGCCAGCCCCACCCACGCTCACGGCAGGGGCAGCGTGCTGTTGTCCTGTTCCCTACTCAGAACATCCCGTTTCCGAAAAACCAGAGCGTTTATAAGTGAAAATAATGTTACTTAAATACACATTTCTCTGCCAAGGAATTTTTCTTGGTTTTGCTCTTTTGTTTCTCTGGGGATTTGTGTTTGGCCTTTGCCGTTCCCTTTGGTGTGAATGTTCTTTGTTTATCCATCTGTAAGAGGCCCTGCTGTCCGGGAATTGGGCCCTTTGCCTCCAGCAGAAGGTAAACGTGCGTGGAAGGTGTGAGCCCTCGGCCGCATCCCGTTCTGCGTGCAACGGACTTTGCTTTCCACACGGGGTTCCTCTGTGGAGTCCAGTCTACCGTCTTTCCCCATTTTCACTGCTGCCTTTGGTGCTGCGTCCAAACAGCCTCCAGCACTTTTTCCTTACACTTTTAAGGGCTATTTACATCCTGTTTTAAATTGCTCACCTGTAGTGAATGGAATATGTACTGTGAGGTTGGTTTTCGCACAGTAATGGGAGCACCGCCCATCCATCCGTTCGTCTATCCGTCCGTCTGTCCATGGGAGCCGCGCATGCACTGGGTGCTCCCTGCTCTGCCTGGCTTCAAAGCCTGGGTCCTCCCAACAGCCCTGGGACCTGGACTTCCTCTTGGCAGCTCCAGTAAGTGGCAACAGGCAACAGATGTTTGTGAAGACACCTCTTGTTATTACCATTTTATTTTCTCTGTTGTATGAACTTAAACGTTGGGGTGGCAGCAGTCATGTCTGCAGTGAGCCAGTTGCCTCACTGGTGCTGATGACCTGGTATGTGTGGTCCAGCCCCGCCCCCGCCCCCGCCGTCCCCGCGAGCCGCCGTCCAGCGCCGTCCCTACCGTTCCCGCGAGCCGCTGTCCGTCCCCGCGAGCTGCCGTCCAGCCCCGTCCCCGCCGTCCCCACGAGCTGCCGTCCGTCCCCGCGAGCTGCCGTCCAGCCCCGCCCCCGCCATCCCTGTGAGCTGCCGTCCAGCACCATCCTTGCCGTCCCTGCAAGCCACCGTTCAGTCTAGCACTTCCCTGTGCCAGGCAAGCCATGGCCCTGCACAGTGGGACCCAGTGTTCCGACAATGCCAGTGCTAGCCGGCACCCCGTCCTGGTGACTGGGTGGGAGGCACAGCCGTCTGGTGGGTGCTGCACCCCCTCCCCTGTGGGGCGGGTAGACATGGAAGCTCCCCAGCTGTTCTCACCCAAAGGTGCTGTTCTTTTCCTGTGGTATTTTTGTTGGTAACTTCTGTAAATAAATCCACACGTTTGGCCTTCACCACATGACAAAGACTTCAGTCCTGATGATGTGGTCAGCTGCAGACACAAGTCAGGAACCGGGCGTGGTTCAGGAGAACATGGTTCATGATTAAGTTCCTACTACACACTTTCTAGACAGGCCTCCAGCAAAGTTCTTTGTGCTAGGCCAGAAGGTGGAAGATTTCTTACAGATTTACAACTAGCCTGCCCCAAAATGGGGAGCATAAAATTTAACAAATATTTACATGAGGCCTTTTTACAGATGATAAATAGCTGGAACCAAATGTGCTTTTAAATCAAAGGCTTCCTGTAGAAACAGGAGCCCTGTGAAGTACAAGGGGGCAGGGCCTGTGCGGGGGCCGTGTGCAGCATCTGCAGGCCATCCCGGGTCTGGCTGCCTCCCTAGCACAGAGACCCCAACGGCCTGTCAGTCGGGTGTGGGGGCTCACAGGGGAGCAGGTTCCTGACCTCACAAGGTGGTCAGAGGGAGCGCGTTAACCCGACCATCCAAAAGCAAAGTCTACGCCCACCGTCCGAGGAAGGACGTGAGCTTCTTTAAAGAACAAAACAGCAGAACAAACCCCAAGAGAACTGCATGGAGTCGGTGTCTTCTAACGTAAGTCCCAGCTGCTGAGAATATAATAAAAGCTGTGAAAGTAATAAGACGTTTTAGTTTTTCATGTCATTACCTTAGCTCAAACCTGCTATTTAAAGAATCTTTTATCAGGCAGCCTTGAAATTCAAAATTCAAAGCAGGTGAAGTGACAAGAATGCGTTTTGAAACACCCTCAGCCGACGTGAAGGCAGCTGCATCTGGGCTCACCCCTTCTCCACTCAACACTTGTATTTTGGTGGCACTGAGTCACTGAAACTCTTCCAGGCCTTGGTCCCTTCTGATAAAAGCGTGAGGCTGCATCTTTTTACATCGGGTCTCTTGCCCTGTCGCCCAGGCTGGAGTGCGGTAGCAGCGCGATCTTGGCTCACTGCAGCCTGGAACTCCTGGGCTTAAGCCATCTTCCAGCCTCGGCCCCAAAGCCACTGGGTCTACAGGCGTGCGTCACCACACCTGGCTAATAAAAGAGCAAAGCTTTTATTCTTTATGGATTTTAAAAATCAGCTCCTTTTCCTTTCTCTGTTCAACTAAGGTTATGTATTGGGAACATTTTGGGGATAAATTTATTTCTAGCATTAGCCAGTATGTATAGCGGCTGCTTGGAAGGTTTTGGTCTTGGAAATGGGGGCAGGGAGTGCATCCTGCAGCCCATGGGGTGCACTCTGTCCCTCCCAGCCTCCTTCCTCAGCCCACGGGGTGCCCTCTCTCCCTCTCACCCTCCTTCCTCAGCCCACGGGGTGCCCTCTCTCCCTCTCACCCTCCTTCACCACCCACAGGGTGCCCTCTCTCCCTCCCAGCCTCCTTCCTCGGCCTCCTTCCTCAGCCCACAGGGTGCCCTCTCTCCCTCCCAACCTCCTTCCTCTGGAGTGAAAAGCAAATCCAGACTTAATCCTCTTTTACCTGTAAATAGTGTGGATCTCTACCGGGTAAGGGATGATTTAAAAAGACATCAGAGCCGCTGAGGCAGCCACACACCTGATGTGGTTGAAGAATGAGCCTTCCAGCGCTCTGTCCCTGCCCACCTCCCTCACAGCTCAGATGTCGTTTGTCATGGCCTTTGCTGTGCTTTTATTGTAATGTCAAGGGGGAAAATCACAGACATATCCAAAGGTCGGATGGTGTAGGGAGCTCTGGGACGGGCAGTGGGCCCTGCGGGCCGTCCCACACCCTGTAGCCTTTCATTCCTACAGATTTCATTAGGCAACGTTGCTGCTTAATGTCTTTAGCGAGATGTAATTCACATACCGTAAAACTGCATTTAAAGCAAGCTTGTCCACACGTGGCTCAGGATGGCTTTGAATGCGGCCCAAAGCAAATTCATAAACTTTCTTAAAACATTATGAGTTGTTTTGTTTTTAGCTCATCAGCCATCAGTAGTGTTAGTATATTTTATGTGTGACCCAAGACAATTTTTCTTCTTCCACTGTGGCCCACGGAAGCCAAAAGATTAGACAGCCCTGATATAAAGTGTACAAGTCAATGTACATATTCATGGACTCTGACGCCATCAGCACCAAGTTTAAAACATTCTGGCCGGGGCAGCTCACACCTGTCATCCCAGCACTTAGGGAGGCGGAGGCAGGAGGATCGCCTGGGTCCAGCAGTTAGACCAGCCAGGGCAACATGGCAGAACCTCTATAGAAAATACAAAAATTAGTGGGGCATCATGGTGCAGACCTGTGGTCCCAGCAACCCAGGAGGCTGAGGCGGGAGCATTGCTTCAGCCCAGGAGGTTGAGGTTGTAGTGAACTTATGCACCACTGCACTCCAGCCTGGGTGATGGAATGAGACCGTGTCTCAAAAAAAAAAAAATTCTGATCAACCCCAGAAGAAACCTGGCGATCTACGGCCTGTGTCTGTGGAGTGGCCTGCTGTGTACATTTCATGTCCACGAACCACATACTGTGCCTTCTGCATCGGGCGTGGCAGTGAGCACCTGAGGCAGGGCTCCTCACACAGGCATCGGTGCGTCCTGCCCGCCTCTTGCAGGACCATAGGTGGCAGAGGGGGTTTCTCCTAGAGTCCAAGGGTAGGTCTTGAGGTGGGGTGAGTTTAGAGAGGCCAGAGGCTGAGGCAGGTATGGGATGTGTTGGAAGCTGTGTGTTCGGTGCATGTCGGGGGGCTCCACGTTTGTGATTTGGGGTCCTCTAGACACGCGTGCTACTTGCCCGCGGCTCCGCTGTCTGAGGGTGAGAAGCAGGTCACGGCATCACTGAAGCTCCTTTTGGTTGCGATTCAGGCCTTTCCCAGTCTTTCCCACCAATTCCTTTCATTTAAGATCCGTTTTCTAATGATTTGCGCTCGACGTCATGTGATGTCCTTAAATTTTCAGATTCCAAAGGGTGACATTTTTTGTGGCATTTAATTGATGCTGCAAAAAAATAAGCATTAATTCACTCATCCGCAAAATACGTATTTTTAATTTCTGTGGGTACATAGTAGGTGTATCTGGGAATGTGTTTTGGTTGCCTGTTCTGGGCCTGCCTGTGTGCGGGCCGTGGGGAGGGGCTGCTGTTCCCCTAATGCCCGGCGGGCAGGTCCCCCGGCAGGATTTCCCTGACCCCACACTGTCCTGGGTGCCGGGGTGGGCTTCACTCGGGGGGGAACTGGGTTTTGGTCGAGACAAGCCAAAGTGTTAATACATGTTTCTTCTTTCGTTTTTCAGGTACTCCTTCGGTAAGTGAGAGGCATTTAGAGAAAGCTCTGCGAGAGTTGAGCGTTGTGTGTTTGGTATGTATCTTCACACACTTTTCCTGGCCTCTCCCGTTCCTTAGCCTCTGCCATCAGCCTTCCCAGTATGCACGGATGGCAGTGGTGAGTGCTTGTGATCTGATCCGTGCCTCCTCCCTGGATGTGGGAGCTCCTGGGCTTCCAGGTCCCAGGCACCTACACACGGATGGCCGCACGTGTGAGCATAGGCATCTCACAGGTGTGGTCTCCCCACCGCTGCCCCGGAGCAGAGGCAGAGCACCCACGGGCCCATCCCCCGTGGACACTCAGGCTGTGTGCACCTCGGCATAGAGAAGGTTCATGTTGCTCACGGTGCTAACGCTGGGGGGCACTTTGGCTTGTGCTTTGTTTGGTGGAGGGGATCGGAGGTCCTCCCCATCCACACAACGCAGTCAATACTGGAGGACGGGAAGAGGGCAGCTGCCCAGTGGGCAGGACAGGATCAGAGGACAGTGGGTGCACCCTCCATTGGGCCCAGAGGCCTCCAGAATGTCATGGGACACACGGTGGCTTGATAAGTGGACCTGATTCCAGGACCTTGGGAAGGATGACCACTCCCACCCCTGCCTTTCTCCCTGACCTCGGGGCGCAGGTGGAAGCGCCGGTCTTTGCTGGTAAATGCCCTGGCCTGGGCCTCTCACTCAGGCTGTGTCTGCCCTGACCTCTCTGGCTCTCGGCCCCTTCCTGGGAGAGCAGGGGCGGCCTGTCTGGGCGTGGATCTCTGCCTGCCCCTTTCACCGTCTTAGGCCTTAGGGCCTGTGTCCTTGCGGTAGAGGTCACTGTCTTCGTGCTTTTATTCCTCACATATTTTCATTCCTTTTGAGTACCAGAGATGCTGGAAATTTGGTTCGAATCAAAGAAAGGAAGAACATCAGAATCTGTTAAAATGTAAATATAAAAGAATCTTATTCCTGATTTTAATCACCTTAAAAGGCAGGTACCTGTCATTGCAGAGGACCAGGCCACCTCGGCCACTGTCACTCATGGGTTTCCTGGCTGCTGGGTGCCGCCTGGCTCAGCGTGCACCGTCAGGGCGTGCGGCTCTGCATGCTTACATCTGTTGGTTGTTTCCGTGTTTTTCTTAAAGCAAGAAGCAATGAATTATTTCAGGAATTCCTTTTCAATTTGCATATCTGACACGACCTGGTCGGAACCAGCTGGTTCTGTGCCCTCCAGTTGCGTGGCTGCATCAAGGGAGCAGAGTGCCCACGAGTGTGGGAGCGAGTAGACGTTAAGGAAGCTTGTGCGGCGGCTTGAGTCCCCGGGCTCCCCCAAAGTGTGTCAGGAGGAGCCAGTAGATGTAAGGAAGCGTGTGCGGCGGCCTGAGTCCCCGGGCTCCCCCACACTGTGTCAGGAGGAGCCAGTAGATGTAAGGAAGCGTGTGCGGCAGCCGGAGGTCCCGGGCCTCCCCCGGAGTGCGCCAGGAGGAACGAGCAGACGTAAGGAAGCTTGTGCGGCGGCCTGAGTCCCGGGCGCCCCCAGGCTGTGTCAGGAGAAGCCAGTAGATGTAAGGAAGCGTGTGCGGCGGCCTGAGTCCCGGGCTCCCCCAGAGTGCGTCAGGAGGAGCGAGCAGACGTAAGGAAGCGTGTGCGGCAGCCGGAGTCCCGGGCCTCCCCCGGAGTGCGTCAGGATGCATTCAGTACCAAAATGCCCACAGAGAAAACTATACTCTTCAACACTTAGATAAACAAATCTTTTCTTAGTAAATTTTATTTATTTAAAATTATAACAGGCCAGGAGCAGTGGCTCATGCCTATAATCTTAGCAGTTTAGGGGCTAAAGCTGGATCACTTGAGCCCAGGAGTTCGAGACCAGCCTGGGCAACATAGCAAGACCCTGTCATCACAAAAAAACTTTAAAAAATTAAAATAGTAAATTATAACAGTACTATTTTTTCCCAGTTCTTATGAGCAGCGAAACCTTTAGGTCCTAACACCTGTATTTAGCAGGAGAAGTCCCTGCTGTCTGATGCTGTGAATCCTGAGCAATGATGGCGAGACCCAGTCCTGTGAGGCCAGTGCACACGGCCAGCACCGCTGGGGCCGTGCACAGGCGGGGGTAGGCTCAGGGAGCAGCGGCTGAAGGTTGTGTGTTCCTCATGAGCGGGTGGGCCGGGGCAGGTTCAGGGAGCAGCAGCCCATGCGTGTGTGTTCCCTGTGAGGGATGGGCCTGCGAGTGCTGCCCTGTCTCAGCACCGAGGCCACAGGACCCATTGCTGAGGATGAGAAGGCCTGGAGCCCACCCTCCCCGTGCCCTCGCCTGTGAGGCCTCCTGGGGAACACAGCCTCTCAGTAGGGTGTGGGGGAAGCGCCTGGGGAAGTGGACTCCCAGAGGCAGTGCTGGAGCGGCAGAGGCTGTCCAGGGGCCCGGTGACTCTGGAGCCACCTTCCCGTGTCCCCAACCACTTGCCGAAGCAAAAGCAATGGGGTCTGCATGGGGGGTGGGATGTGAGCCTGTGGGGCCGCCGTCAGGGGCTGTGCTTGCGCTCCCAGCCAACGGAAGCCCGTCTTCTGTGCCCGCGTCTCCCTGGGCGTTCTCAGGTGCACATCACATAGTCTACCTGATTCTTTGCGTCTCCCTGGGTGTTTTCAGGTGAGCGTCACACATTCTAACGGATTCTTTAGTGGCAGGTGGTAGTTGTAGGGACTCAGAAGCGAATCGTTGACTCGTTAATGTTAATGTTTTCCGCCTGGGAGCCCTCGTGAGCCTGAGTTTCATGTTGTGTCTGACCCTGCAGCGGCTCAGCACATCACTCTGGACTGTCGCTCAGAAATTCGGAAGACTCATAGTAGCTTCGGCAGAGCTCTCCCTGCCTTCCGAGCGGCCACGCGTCTTTGAACTCTCTTCCCTGATCTTGGAGAACGTAGAGCTGCCAGTTACTGAGGTATGACGCTGGGCACTGGGCCTCAGAACAGCTAAACCAAAGGCACTGGAGGTCAGGCTTCCTGACCTGAGACCTCTGGGGAGGCTCCTTCCCTGTGGCCTGTTCGGGGCGGCCTGGGAGAAGGCAGTTTGTGCCTGTGCTCCTCACCTCATCCGAGCCACGTGTGCTTCTGTGTCCATCTCATGCCGTCCTTGTCTTCATTTTGCACAGTGGGCTTTAGTGGAGATCAGGTGGCTCTGGGCATGGGGGGGTGGGGGCAGTTATCGGGACCCTGCGGCCAGGAAAGCAGCATCCTCCGGCAGTACGCGCCCCCAGGCAGCAGCCAGCTGGCTCCAGGTGGTCCAGGCTTCCAGGGCCCCCACCCAGCCCGGCCACTGGCACATGTGTTTTTACAATTAATTAAAGCTAAGTGAAATGAAAAGCTCTAGTCTTTGGTTGCGTTGGCCGCACCTCACGTGCTCTGCATATAGCTGTGGCTTCCCTGCTGGGCGGTCCCAGGCCTTTTTTTTTTTTTTTTTTTTAAAACTGAGTCTCGCTCTATTGCCCAGGCTGGAGTGCAATGGCGGCAATCTTGGCTCACTGCAATCACCGCCTCCCAGGTTCAATTATCTGCCTCAGCCTCCCGAGTAGCTGGGATTACAGGCGCCCGCCACCAGGCCCGGCTAATTTTTGTATTTTTAGTAGAGATGGGATTTCACAATGTTGACCAGGATAGTCTCCATCTCCTGACCTCAGGTGATCCGCCCGCCTCGGCCTCCCAAAGTGCTGGGATTACAGGCATGAGCCATTGTGCCTGGCCCCAGACCATTCTCAACCTAGCACAGTCTGCAGAAGCTGCTAGTCAAAGATCCTAACATTTCACCAGTAGCAAATCCTATCTTCTGAGGGCTCACGGCTGGGTGTGGGCTCCCCGGGACATGCTCTCACGATGCTATGGGCGTGAGCGGGACCGGCCTGAAATACACACAGCCGCTGTTAGTGAAATGGCCGCCGGCTGGGGAGTCCGTACACCCCGCTTCGCTAGTGTCTTCCTTTTTCTCAGGATGACCACACCATCCACAGAACGTTTACGTTTCTTTTCTTTTCAAGTCAGGGTCTTGCTCTGTCGCCCAGGCTGGAGTGCAATGGCACAATCTCAGCTCCTTGACCTCCCAGGCTCAGGCCATCCTCCCGCCTCAGACTCCTGATTAGCTGGGACTACAGGCACACTGCCATGGCCAGCTGATTTTTAAACTTTTTGTTAAGACGGGATCCCACTGTGCTGCCCAGGCTGGTCTTTGGGTCTCTGTTCGCATCTCTCTCCTGTTGCAAGAGCACCTCCGGTGAGCTCGCCTGCTGCTGTCCTGGGCTTTGTGTCCCAGGGCCCTGCGCCCCGTTCAGACGGACACGACTGCTGGGCAGGAGGAAGGCACATTCGTCGGGGCTGCGCTTTCCAGGACACAGGAAAACCACAATATTTGTTAAACCCCATTCTGCCGTCCGTGTTTCTGCTGGAGTTTAGATAGAGCTGAGCTTTGAGGGCTGCTGAGTTTGGTAACATTCACTTCAAAGAAGGAGCCTGACGGTAATGAATTCCGCAGCCCCAAGCGCGGCTGCTTCCTGCCGCCTGCGGCGAGTGCACCTTTTGATATTCAGTGAGCCTGCATCTGGGAGTCTCTGGAGCCTCCAGCCGCCCTTGTGCATTGGAAAGGATGCAGGAACCCAAGAGGACCCGCAGCAGTGGGTGGCGGGGCTCCGTGGGGCGGCCGCTTTCCCTCCAGGACCAGGCCGCTTTTGCCGGCAATGCACCGTGCCCCAATGTGTGGGCCTGTCCCCCCAGCTTGGCCCCATCCCCCGAGTGTGGGCCCCGTCCTCCAGCGTGGTCTCTGTCCCCCCAGCACTGTTCCCATCCCACATGGGGCACCATGCCTAGCGCCTGGTTCTGTGAGGAGAGCAGGCTCTAGGAAGGGGCTCCCATCTGCAGAGTTTGGTGAGGTTGAAACAGCAAAGGCCACAGCCGCTGTTCTGGGACTGAGACCAGGGCCGGTCCCCAGTGCTTCTGGAGACACTTTCTGGCCCCTCC